AGAGAGGCCCGTCTGGAGCAGGGCTGCTGCCCTGGGGACCATCAGCAGCCCAGCCCCAGGCCTCCCATGCCAGGTAAGCTTCTCCTGCCTCCAGCAGATGGGGAAGGGGGCACCTCGAATGTTGTAGCCTTCCCTTGGTGGCATCTCGGAGGTAGCAACCTTCTCCCTTGGTGGCATCAGCCAGGTTCTGCCGTTTCTCTGTCGTTGGGAGCTCCCCCTGCTCCCACTGCAGCAGAAAGGTGTGGGGCCCTGGCACGGTGCTTACCTGGGTGGCTGCACGTGCCAGAGCCGCTTGGTTTGCTCCGCTGGGAAGAGGGAGTAACTTTGGGTTGTTCTCAGAAGACTTCTCTGTCAGCCCTACCCTTAGAAAAGCCTCTAGACCTACTAACAAAGTGATCTGGTAACACCCCTGATCCTTCTATCTCGGGTGGAATGTGTGTGTTGCTAACCTGTTCTGTTCATGCACATGGGTGCCTCCAGCTAATGCATTTTGACTTAATTTCTGGCTCGTTAAAATGCCTATAGCCCTCAAACCCAGATGGCACAGGCAACTCGACTGCAGTTTAGGTACTAACTGTACACTGACACAGCTACAAGTCTGGATTTTCACTTGCACAAGTGATCAGGAGCTGTGACATCTGAGTACTGAGCTGCCCTTGAAGGGAAATTGGTGGCAGATGCTCTAGGACTGACTGGTCCAACCTTCTGTACTTCGGGGTTTTCAAGCGAGCCTGCCAGAGCACTTGCCAGTTCCTAATCTTGCTGGTGCTAGAGAATAATTGAGAGTAAAACTACTCTGGCCTGCTCCCTGGTGCATGCATGCCTGGAGGACAGAATATAACCCAGAATACCCACTGAAGGAGCAGTTGGCTAATGTCCCTCTTCCATTTTCAGTGCCCGTGTACGTGCCGTTCCTCCTTGTTGGATCTGTATTTGCAGCATTTGTTGTTGGTGGTGCCTGTGTTGGAATTTGCTGCTGCAAGTGCTTAAAATCCCAAGATGAGGAGCAGCAAAGGGGACTTGCACCTGGTCAGACTTGGCTGCTAGAACCTGATCTTCCTTCTCGCCTCTCTGGTTCCAGTTCTGCCACCAGAAACCCCCTGAGCAGTGGTCCTCAGACCAGCAACATCTGCATGACTTTAGCTCCATCTCTTCCCATCGTTGGGTTGGCTGAAGATGCTCGGTTCCTCAGTCCTCCACCTACCAGTGGACAACTCTTGCACCCTTCACGCCCCGACCACAGAACAACCGAGCATGCTGCAGTAATGGAGCCAGCACCTTTCCTTAAAAGAACCAATTTATGGACACAGTGCTAACGCATCCCTTTTTGGGGTAACACAGGGTGACCAAAAGATGCACTCAGGAGTGCATGTCTGAGAAGATAACACATCAGCAGACAGCCTGGACTGGATGATACTTCACTATTATAAAGAGATCTTTCAGAGTGAAATGAGGACTTTCAAATATTTGATGCTATTAGGATATGCATCAATTTTGGTTTTTTATGGCTCTGAAGATGATAGCTTAGAACTTCTTTTAGGCTTTTGGGTTTTTTTAACTTTGTATTATTTTAATGCTATTGAAAAAGGCAAGATTCTGAGGCCTGCATACCTGTTCAAGGCCTGACTGCAGAAATGAGTTTCACTCTTCCCTGGTGCTTTCAAGCTGCCTTACCATGCTCTAGGGGACAGGGTTTTACTGTCTGTAGCTGTGTCACTTCTCCAGGGAAGTGGCTTAGTGAGTTAGGAATTGTGGACACTTGACAGCCAGTAAAGTACAGGAAGGCTGTACTTAATCTACACACTTCTGATGCAAGATGGTAAAATACTTGCCTGGGACTTGCCTGCCCCTGGTGAGCTACCACTTAAGTTGAGCTACTGAAAGAGCAACTTCTAACCCTAACTTAAGTAAAATGTACATTTAGTACAGATCCTAGGGGAAGGCAGTAAAACAACGTATGTGTTACTTCTCTTCAAGGGACTATTTTTTCTTTCTTTACATAATGACTCATCAAATAGATGAAGAATTACAGGGTAAGGTAAGAACAAAACAAGACTCCAGTCAGTTTTCTGAGTATATGCTGGAAAAGCTTGGCTACATTTTACTCCTTGTTAAGATGCATGCTGCCTGGTTGCAGCCACCCCCTTCCCAGCAGGACACTGATAGGAAGAAGTTGTCAAAATACACTACTCGCTGCTGGAGTGTTTTAACACCTCCTTACAGCACAGAAACCTGAGTGATTATACTGTGAAGGCATGTTAAAAGGACTCCACAGGCATTACCGGTAGGAGCAGGGGCCAAGGCTTAAAAATCTAAATGCTAAAGCCTTTCCCATGTTAGTACTGCCTACCAAACAGAGCACTGGAAAGATTAAGATGCTTGGACACTTCTCTTCTAAGTCCGTGGGGTTAATACACTTTGTAAATAAATGTATGACCTTACAGTATTTATGTATATTTTATTTCAGAACATTACATCTTAATTCTGGTGAGCAATTATGTCTTTCACTAATGGTCATTCTAAGCACACATCTATCCCAGTGCCCTAGTTTGTGGGGGCAAGGTGATAGATTCGGGTAACTTCTTGACTCATTCATGGGTGTGAATTGGACATTTCTCAGAATTGAGCAGACCCAAGGTGGTGACTTCTGTTTACTGGGCCAGATCCTCTTAAAATTGGAGTAAAAAAATCAGAATGAGAACAGAATATCCTAAAAATAAAAGCTTCCTCAAAATACTGAGACTCCTGGTGTACACTTGTTTTAGTATTGAAAAACAGTAAGTTAGAGCTTCCAGAAATACACTGGCTTCACCTTAAAAGTGTTGTCCTTGTTACTGTCAGTGAAAGGTCACTGGGATTTATTGATAACTATGCCAATACACAGGACTGCAGGAGTGATGGCTTTTAAAGTCAGGTTTAATCTTATTTCACTGAAAGCACTTAGAAAATGGCTTTTTTTTTTTTATAAAGTAACTGTTGTTTGTGGCTTAGGAAAATCTGTAGGCGAATGCAGTAGTTTATCTGGTTAAATGTCCAATTTTGACAGTACATCATGACAAAACCTCGTGTCAGTTCAGAGACAAATGAACAAATCCTTCCTGGCGCTCTTTGTTCTAGGAAATGCAGAGCAACTTGTGTCATGCTTATGCTGGTAGGAAGATGTATTTTATGCCTAGCAGACTGGGCCACTGGAAATGGAGAATAGGTGGCTTTATCTGCTAGTCTCATTTACTAAAACATGGTTATTCTCTGAAATAGATTTTGTGAGCTAGGAAGGTAAAGGAATATGTGACCTGACAGCCAGTACACCTAAATCTCTGCTGGTATGTATATAGACCTCCTGTCAACTGCAACAGGAATGGAAAACTCCAGGAGGCAAATTCAGGATAAGGTTTTAAATTAAATAACAAACCAGAGCAACAGCCTTCCTGGTACTGCAAAACAAAGAGGTCAAGAGGTTCACATGTAGCCCAAAAGAATTAAAGGGGAAAAAGTTGATCAGAAGTGAGGAAAAGAAAAGCTAAATGGTTTTGTGAATGCTGCCTTAATTGCTCTCTGGGGAGGATTAGCAGAGTTTTTTGAGTCAGGATACCTTCCTCTGTCCACCTTCTGCCTGTTCCACAACTGAGAAACACACACACACAAACAGGCAAAGCTAGTATTGGGAAGATCCTGATGTTCTGCATCCCTATTACAATATTTTCTATACAGATAAAACTAATGGTTGCAGCAACAAAGGTCAAATATTTCAAGGATTGAAAATTTATTTTCAAAACTGCATGGGTAAACAAGAACTAACCCGTTTGTTGCACTCCAAGGGCTTGAGGGACGTTTTTCTAAGAACTATTTGCTTGACATCTTCCATTAAGCACCACTGTACACTGGCATTACCTGGTCTCAATTAGCATCTGCATTAAAATCACATCAACTCATGTGGGGATTAAGGAAAAAGCACAGATTATTTTTTATGTAAATTATATCCCTTTTCCAATTTAAGGGGCCTAGTGAGTTTAGCACATCTTTAGACAGATGGGATGTGTTTGTGCTAAATCCCTTTTTTTTTGTTTTTTTCCCCTAAAGGGCTTTTCCTGATTCAGGCTAAAGAAGAAGTGCTTAGCAGGGACTAATGGTCTATTTACTACCTATTGTACTAGGAGCTTTGCTTTGTTTGCCTAATGATGCCCCTATCCCCTTCCCCTCAACTTCTAATTAAGAAATTATTTACAGTCCTTGCTCCTTAATCCTCAGTAATGACACAGGTGATCTCAGTTGTTCCTGGTGTATTCTTTCTGGATTTAGGAAGAAAGCACTTGGTAAGAGTGCTCTGAAAGGTGCAGATAGCAGCTTCAGGCTGAAGGCTTGAGGCCAAGGCTTGCAGGGTGCTGTCCAGAGGCTGTCTTGCAGGCTCCTCTACACACAGGCATTGCCTGGGGTTGAACAGTGCTTCTCATTTTCTTTAGCTTCAATCTGTTCCTAATTGAGCCCAGATAAACCTAAATGTATTTTTTGTCCAGATTTTTTTGACAGATTTAACCAAAGCAGTTTAAAGCAGGGCAGGTTTCTCTGTTGCATATAACTGCCTCTCCACACTATTTTTATATTTTTTTTCCCCACTGAATTAACACACAGAGCAGATTGATCTGCTCTGCATGACTAGAAAATTTAAAAAAAGCCACTGAAAGAGCTTTTACTTCTCCTGCTATAAAGCAATGCTTTTTGAAGTACTGAATAAAAAGCATCTGCCCTTTCTTAACAGGTAAGTATCTCCAGTTTTCCCTTGAGGAAACCTCAGGTACAGAGAAGTTGATCAAGGTCTCTTCCAAGGCCACACAGGGTTGGCACAACTGTGATGTGATTCCAGCGACCCTGGCTCCATAACTCAGACGAGTCCACTGCTGGTATTAACAGTATAATGCATTTCTTTGGCTAGGAATAATGACTGATATTTGCCTTGAATTAAGTGACAGATTTGCTTTTTATTCAGCTAAGATGCAGTCTTTTATTATGGATGCTGTCTGGTGTTTTTTTTCGTGTTTATGCCAAGGGTTTCTCAAAGACCTGCAACCATTTTTTCCAATCAAGTCAATTCAACTCTGGACTGAAACAAGAACCCCCTCTATCCTTCAAGCAGAGCCACACTGATTTGCTATTCTTCAGTGCCAGGTATTCTGGCAAATGAATCAATAATTGCCATAATGCAAAAGCCCATCAAAAGCCCTACAGTTTGCTGTGGGAGCTCAAAGCAAGGAGAAACATTCCTCATATGGAAGTGACACTGTTTCCTTAGGTCCTTCCTACAAGAAAGTGAAGGTAGTTAGAATATAAGTTCAAAGTTGTAGTGGAAAATTGAATGTATTTCTATTGCTTTAGAACTGTTTTGATTGTCTTGACACACCACTTTATGTTGTGTTAGACCTTAGGACAGTAGGAAGGGCAGTGCCTGACCAAAGCCCCACATACTGGGAAGTGCCTCCTGGGAGCTCTTGATGAAGATGGACAAGGGTGAAGGAGGTTCACAGAAAAATGAGACTGGGTGGTTTTAACACAAGTTGGAGGAAGGGACATAGTCCTGACAGGCTGGAGGCCTGTGGCTGCACAGCCACTACCATAAAATGCAACGTGACTGTGATTGTGCTGCTGCACCAAACCTCACAAATGTGGAGGAGGGGAGAAGGCTGCAATTTCTTCTTTCCAGTAAATCTATCTCTGCCTAGGAAAAAAACAGATCATTATGTGCTCCCCCTTCCCCCTAGGGCCTCTGAGAGATGCAAAACATATCTGTAAATGAGCACTCTTGCCAGTATAGTTTCTGTTTGTTTTCTAAATTAAATAAGCTCTCTTGAGCAGGAGCACTGTGGGAGGCCCCCCCAGCCACTACCATAATATGCAACGTGACTGTGATTGTGCTGCTGCACCAAACCTCACAAATGTGGAGGAGGGGAGAAGGCTGCAATTTCTTCTTTCCAGTAAATCTATCTCTGCCTAGGAAAAAAACAGATCATTATGTGCTCCCCCTTCCCCCTAGGGCCTCTGAGAGATGCAAAACATATCTGTAAATGAGCACTCTTGCCAGTATAGTTTCTGTTTGTTTTCTAAATTAAATAAGCTCTCTTGAGCAGGAGCACTGTGGGAGGTTTCAACTTGCACAAAGTGCTGCCAGCTTCCTTCCCTCCCTCCCTTTGATGCCTGATGACAAGCACAGCAGCCCCGTTGCTGACTTCCAAACCTCATCCTGAGAAACCAGGCAGTCACAGATTAGGCAGAAATAGAGGGTATCAGCCTGGCAGAATGAATCTGGAAATATTTTTACTTCCCTAAGAAATATGACATAGAGCTGCACACAGTGGCCTGCCTGTCTGTCTCCTGGTGCCTGCCTG